CTTGTTGGAGATGTAGTATTAGAAGCAACACTTGTTGGAGATGTAGTATTAGAAGCAACACTTGTTGGAGATGTAGTATTAGAAGCAACACTTGTTGGAGATGTAGTATTGGAAGCAACACTTAGTTTGGTATTCTTGGAAGCGGCACTTGTTAGATTAGTAGTGTTAAAAGTGACACTTTTTGGTGTTGAAGTGTTGGAAGCAACACTTGATGGAGTGATGGTGTCTGTTGTTGGAGTGGTATTGTTGGAAGTGTCTCTTGGAGTAGTAGTGTTGGAAGTGTCTCTTGTTGCTGGGAAGATAGTGTTTGAAGTGTCTCTTGTTGGAGAGATAGTGTTTGAAGTGTCTTTTATCGTTGGAGTGGTAGTGTTGGAAGTGTCTCTTGATGCAGTAATAGTGTTGGAAATGGCACTTGTTGGAATAATACTGCTGGAAGTGTCTCTTGTTGGAGTGGTGATGTTGGAATCAGGCGTGGAACTTAGACTACGGAAAGCTTGACCTGAATGAAGACAAAAATCWGTACTGAATCTCACAGTTCAGGGTGTTTTTAGTTATAGTGAATCTAGTAAATGTTTCCATGTTACAGCTTAGATGTACTCACACTTGCTTTGTATCAAGGTTTTTAACAAGCAGTTATGGGCAGAGAAAACCTAGGTTCACTAACCACTAATAAACTAAACAAGAATCTTAGCTCTGCCAATGCTAACTTATAAAAAAAAATGGTGGAAGCTAACCACTAAGGCAAATGTCACCCAGTCTGTGTCACTTCCTCTCTTTCCAGAAAACTGATGGAACTGATGCAAAAATTTTGTTAGTTTTCTATTAGTTTACTTTGAAGGTGGATGGAACCATCTGTGGCAAATTATCTAATCCAAACCAGAGTATATTTCTGTCTGTGACACATCCAATTTACCCCTTTCAGAAAGCATTTCTTTGATTAAGTTTATAGTTTTTACCATTTGAATTAATCAAACAACAAATAGCAAATACATTCTATGCCATATTTTACATGTATTCAGTTTTTGTATTTGTTACTTAAATATTGTTAAGTGTATTTTCTTTATTTTTGATGCATTTAGTTTGAAGTTTAGCTGCTAAAGATGATATTTGCTAGAAATAATGTGCCTGACACATCCAGCACTGCTTGTAAGAGGGGATAGTTTTTATTTAATGTGGCAGAAATGGCAAAAAAGTAAAGGTTTTTACACTTGTGAATTTTTAGTAGGCCTAAACAAACAGTGTGGACAGTGCCCACCACTGTTAAAAAGCATGAAGCAAACTGATTACATCATTTAAGGAAGGGTCTAGGAATTTGCGATAAAAGAAACTTTAAACTATTGTGTATGCACAATTACCTAAATATTATTTCAACAGGCAATAAATTTAATATGTTTGGTAAAAAGTATTTTTTTTATTTTTTTAGTTCTAGATTTGTACATATTTATGTCAACCTGTTCATGAAAACATTGGTCAGGTTTCATCTATCAGGTTTGACACTAGAACCGTTTGGTTTACAGGAGTCTTCTCTGGGCCCTCTCTGGCATTGTGTTGACATAAACCTGGACATTACAAAGCAAAAAACTGGCCACAGTGCTGCTTTTTGTAGAAGTGAGCACACATGRTTTGTTTTTTTACACATAGATTATTCATGTTTGCTTTGTTTATTTTTAAAAATAGACATACTAGGATCTGTTGTGTGTTTTTGTACACTTGAGGATGGATTTGAAAAGAAATTGTCTGTGCCAAGGAGTTGTACAGTATTTACCGGCAGTCTGTGCAGCTGTTGTCGAAGTGGTGAAGTTGGAAGCGATTGTGGAGTTGAGACCAAAAGCTTGACCTGAATAGAGAAATCATTCAGTTCTCAATGTGATTAACACAGATCATCAGATCTTATCCTGTTCCATGACACAAAATATCTTTCTCAGCTTTAGCCAGCTGTCACTGAAATATGACATTCCTGGTTCTTTGTAGCACACACTGTACAAAATAAAAGTTGAACCACTTTGGCTCCTCAAAGTCTAAAGTTAATAGCTGTTGTTGAAGTAGACTTCAGGACAAACTGTAATCAGACCAGACAGACAAGTTCAAGTATAAATCAGAAAGGAATCTGTAGCTTATAAAGGAGCTGTAGAGTTGTTAGACRGGATGAGGCTGGTTAGAAGCGCTGGCTTCATTGTGTGCCAGCAAAGGCTGATGTGTCACAGATGACGTCAGGTTTTACCTGCCAGGATGATAATAAGCAGGTGTATTTTCAGCCACCCTGCACAGGTAAGATGGGAACCGGGCCTCTTCACTCTYTAATACAATGAAAATGTTCCATTAAAAGTACTAAAGTCTCAGACTAATCATGCAAATCTACCTCTTTCCATTACACCCAAACAGATAAGAGATAAATCTATYCTATGTCTGAATATGTTATCTTTCTTTCTGATTGTTTTCTTAAATAAATTCAAAATACCAAATCAAATTCTTCCATAACGTCATACTACAGGACAACCKTGTTAACTATTTCTCATTCTCACAATACTGCAGGTGCAGTACAAAGAACTACATTATCTGACTGATAGAAACAAAGTAGTTTCCTGTGAAAGGGCGTGTTTGCTATGATCAGAGGATTAGAGAAAAGGTCACAAGACTGTAAATGTGATGCACGTCTTTCTATTTGTTAACAAACTATCTCATGAACCACATTTTGATAAAGCTTTTAGAAAGTCATTTTTGAATTTGCATCTACAGCTGATTAACCATTAAAATCCATCTGATTCAAGATGATTCAGAGCTTTTTAGTCAAACCATGAACATGAGGTTTTTATCTTGGGATTTTAAAAGATCTATGCTATTTGTTAGCACTTAGTGTGTGTTATAATAATAGATGGTAGACATCAAGGTTCAACTCAGTCTCTGTTAAGCTACTTTAGGTAGCTGTTTTTGTGCTTTCAAAGATTGATTAGCTATGACAGCCATCTTGAATTGGGTTGACTCTAAAACTCAGTTGTAGATATATTATTAATGAATAATTTCAGTCAATGATGGACAAACAAGGTTGACACTAAAATTGCCAAAGTTTTAAGAAAAAACACTGGGAAATGTGTAGCTCTGACATTAATTTGGGGATGTGACCCCTTTATTACCAAATCATACTATAGCTGTTTGTAAAACTCACTAAGTTGGTGGCCGTTTTTGGGTTGACTTCAAAAYGTAATCAGTTGTGGAATAGGGCTMMACAATAAACTGCAAACGTATGAGCATAGCGTTGACAGCCTATGCAAAACACTGCAAAAACTGCAATAAATAGATGGCTCAAATGCTAGCATTTTTGTCTGTTAACCAAAATGGACTGGTCAATGTTGGATAACTGCAATGTGAGAAATTGCAGTTTCATAAACTGTAGGTTTGTTAAATTTTACTTAGAATACTTCAACTTATTTTCAGATGATTTTTATTATTTATTTAAAAAATGATAGTAAGGTGTTTTTCAGTATTTAAAGCATCAGAAAAAGTTTAGTAGGGGAGATGTTTTAAAGTCATTAAGACACTCACATGCAGTTTGTTGTTTCACTGCGAATACAGCAGCTGTGTCTAGTTACACGTTTTTAAAAATAAAACTGTCATGTTGTAATGAAAAGGATGTTCATCATTTCTTTTGTTGTAAACCCAGAGCAGAAAGACATCAACACCACATACTTAAGCAGCCTACTGTATTTGTTCATTTATCAGAAGTCATTTTGTCCTCAATTGGGGTAGCTGAGGAGAGTCGTCCTGGAACCGGTAGGTTGCCGGTTCGGTCCAGCTGTCTCAGTTGTGTCCTTAGGCAAGACACTTCGCCCCTAATGCCTCTGATGTTTGTCCCATCAGTGAATGAATGTTGATTAGTCTCTATAGATCGATTTGTACATGTTAGGTTTGTGGAGACCTAGTAGAGGGCTGTGTGAATGGGTAAATGAGGGCACAGATAGTGTGAAGCAGTTTGAATATCCTGATTGGATAAAAAGGTGCTCTAGGCCTATAAGTACAGTTTCACAGGCTTTGGCAATACAATATATATTTAAAAAAATTTGGCGAACTAGTTTTTAACAATAGATCATCTGAAGAGGAACTTTTTTCTTTGGCTGTTTTTTTATCAGTCTGTATCAGTCCAATACCTGACCATTGCAAAGAAATACTTGGTCCCTGACTCTGACCTATGAATCATTCAAGAATAGAATGGTTACTAAAGTCAAGGAATGAACCTATTGTGTTGACTCAAAACATATTGGCAAAGWCACAATGTTGAATAGCCTCTTTGGGCACTTTGGGTCGTGGTTCACAAGCTTGTTGTTCAGATTTCAACTTTAAATTCCAGTCATGTTCTATTRCTATCTACACGTCTGTTTGTCTCAAAGTATCTCAAGAACCACTGAATYTGTTTTAATCAAARTCTTAGAACYTAATCATTGGGRGTACATATAGAACTGATTACCTTTTGGAAGCACCATCAGTCAAAATGCTCACCATAACCAACCGATTTTAAAACACAGAAAATATCTATAACTCAGTAATTTTACAAAACAATAGGCAGCATTTGGTGTCCTAGATGATTAAGACTAATCCTCTAAGCACTACCCATTGCACATCTWTGCTTGAAATGTTGACAAAGGTTGGCATCATCCCAGTCTCTGTCAGTTAGCAAAATACCTCATAAATCACGCTTCAGAACTGAATGAAACTCAGAAAGTAACCACTGGATTTGCATGACTGATTAGCTTTTGAAGCTAAGATTGCTGTGACAGCTAACTGATCTACATAAATGGCTACAACCAGTCAATTTTACAGATTGAGCTAAAGTATGGTAGTAGCTGAGAGTCATCTCAGAATTCTAACAACTCGTTGTTGTGTGAGATAATGTCATTTAAGTAATTTCTTATGACTAAAACTCTGGCATGAACAGTGGTGGGTGACATATACTCTTTCAAGAAATGCCAGGCTTTTATTAGTTTCTGGTTTTGTTTATCCTCTTTCGGATTTGTTCACTCCCACATCCTCTGTGGTTTATTAGTTAGACTAGTCAGTTCTTAGGTTTTGCTTTTCTACTTGTGTGCCTGGGTTTTAGATTACCTGCCATTAGAACTCATTATTATTTCTTGGAGTCTATTGAATTGGTTTTGCGTCAGACGCTGCATCTCCCGGGTCCTGCCTCAGCTCTCTTATAAATCCTCGTCACATGACTTTCAGATATTGTTCATCTGCTCTAGGTTGTCTCTATATTTTAATCTCCATCCTTCATTTTTGTTCAACACTTTTCCTTTAACCCATACACTAAACAGTGTCATGTGATCATGAACAAAGACTGGACAAGAAATTAATGATCTTTAAAAGACCATCAGATGATTCTGATAAAGATGACATTTAAAGATTACAGGAAAGCCTGAGCTTGGAAGAAAAATATAAAGTATTCAGGAGTTTGAAAAAAGTTCTTCAGCTGAAAACAGGTATATTTGAAAAAGTTTTAGGTTTACACTTGCTTACACTATTTTAYACATGTCTCTGTGTGTTTTCTGATCTTGACTGGAACCAGAGTCAGCTCTGATTGAGTTGAATCAAGAAAATAAATGCACCACCACCAGAACATTACCTGACAGAAGGAGCCAATGACTTCCAGCACAAACATCTGCCTGAACAAGATACTGGAGTTCCCATGACTTCTTCATTTCCATCAAGCATCCCTTCCCAGCAGCAGAATCGAAAGGAAATCAAAGCCCGAACATAACCCCGAACATTTTCCCCGACTGACACAAAAGCAAACAGTTGCTAATGGTCGTGTTTCTTCTCTGAATACTTCTCAGGCAGAACCAGCAGCTGACACAGGTGGCACGCCCCTGAGACGTCAGCTGGAACAAGAGGACGTCACCTCTTTTATTTTAGCTCAAGTATATCCCACAACACCCCTCCACACCACCAGAAACATGATTGTTTATTTACCAAATCTACATGATCTGATTGTTCAGTTGAGTAAAAACATTTTTTCTATGCTGACAGGACTTCCTTAAGGGTTTTTTCCCCAGGAGAAAGATTTGTGTTTCTATTATTGTTTGACATTCAAGGTGTGCCTCAGGGTGTGTCCTAACATTTGTCAGGGCTCTCTATGACAGAGCTGATGGGAACTCTGTTACCACAAAGCTACAAAGCTTCAAAGACCTGTGGCATCGCAACGTTTTGTTGTTATCATGTTATTCAGCTGTTATCCAAGAATGTGAGCGAGGACAGCATCACTACTACAGCATTTCTTGATCAGGTTGCAAATGTTTCATTGTTTTGACTTTTTATAGCCTTAACTGGATCAAGAAAATGCATAATTAAAACTCACTGAGAGAGCACTGCGAGGTAGTAGGACGGAACACAGAACATGTTTACAGTAAAGCTGCAGGTTTTAAATACCTTTCATTATGACGAGGAAGAACAGGGTCAAACATAAATGGTCCAATGTTGAGCTTCTACGAGCTGATATTTAAAACATTAAAACATTCTTAGAACTGCAGCATTTTTCTTATAAAACTGTTTCAAATAGTCATTTGGTCTAACCCAGAAGCTTGAAGAATGTCTCAGCATTACACACATGTTGTAGTTGCATTTAACATATGCAGGTTGTATTACTGGGCCTGTGTTTTCTCACACACACACGTTTCGTGTTTCACTATCTTTGTGAACTTGTACTGACTTCTGRTCATTTCTACAGCATAACCCTGACCCCTAACTACAACCTAAAATTAACTCATACCTTAGTCCTAAACCTATTCCCTGACCCACATATGGGGGTTTTCCCTTGTGTGGATCAGGCAAAATGCCATCACAAGGGCAAATGGTGAATAATTTTACTAATTTACCTCTGGGATTAAGTATTTGTTTTAATTGAATGTCCTCTGAAGACATTCCTAGTGTCCCCAAAAATGTGCAAGAAATGCACACATGTTGGGTCTTTGCATTYACTTCCATTCATTTCTGTTTAATTTKTACAGCCRAACCCTGACCCCTTACCCTAAACCTAACCCCACAGGTACATACCTAACCCTCAACCTAAACTTAATTCATACCTTAGCTCTAAACCTGACCCACAAATTGCTTTTTGCCTTGTGTGAACCAAGCAAAAATGTTTACATGACAAAAATGTCCTCACAAGTTTAGTCTTGAGTAAAATGTGTCCACACAAACAATAAAAAGATGTGTATATATACACACACAGGCATGCACAAACACGGTGCTTTATAGCCTCCCTAAAGTTGACATTCGATAGTAAAAAATTCTGATTGATGTTTCCTGCAGTAACTCTTTTATCCAGTAGATGTCTCTGTTCAAATTGTATTTTTTTTTACTCCAGCTCCTCCACCACTCATCTCTCCTGTCTCTGCAAACTGACTTTTTTTTGTTCTATTCACCCAGTCCTGCCTTCATTGCTATTTGTGTGCCTGTTTTTCATGACTGCCGGCCCCGTACTTTTGTCTGCTTTTAGATTTTAATCTTTGCCTGGGCGCTGCTTTTATTCGCAGGTCAACCTGTCAACATGAAGTAATGCCCTTAAGCTCCTGGGTTTTGTTCATCATAAAACCACCATCTGTCTGCCTGATTCTGTGGGTATTTGTTCTCTCCTTTCTGCGAAACCCCCCCCCCCCCCCCAACAATCTACCTTTACAATAAATAACACCAGTGTTACTTGAATAAACACTGTAGGCACGACTCAAAAGACATGAGTTAAAGTTTGACTGATAAGAATCAGTGGTCTTCGTGATTTTTTTTACCTCAGTTCTCACCAGTCAATCTATTACAGGAAGAGATAATAATCATCTGTTACCACCTGCTGGCTCCACATCCCAGATTTATGCAGMCATAAAGGCTTTACACCACAATCTCCTCTTTCCCATATTCTGCCTCTCATTTATTAATTTTTAATTTTCATCAATCTATTCAAAAATCATTAGACTTTACAACATGTGGCTTTTGGACAATGAAAATGGACTTAAGCAAGTTCAGCTATTAAACTGATTTATTTCTCAAACGGCATTATGGTTACACTTTATAAAAAATTTTTATTTTTTAATAAGCGTTCTATATGTTCTGAACAACTAATATCTTACCTGTAGTAGATAGCTCCTTTTAATGACCTCAGCTTGGAGAAAGATTGATGAGCTGAGTGAGGCCATGACCTCAGTGGATTACTGCTTTCTTAACACAACTTCAAGTGTGTGGGTGAGTGAGTTACCCCAGCATTTCATAAGCATTTACATTGTTAAACTATTGCAGGAAATGATTATTTCAGCAGAAATAGTTTGATATTCCAGAAGAAAGTGGCTCAGGCTACACCAGAAGTGAAATAGTTACATYAAAAAACTTGTGCTTTACCAGAAAAGTCATGGTTTATTTTTGAAGAAGTTATACAATAATTTAAATATTTGAATGTTTCTTTTTTCTGATAAACCTAAACACTAAAATAAAAACTTTTAAAACCTTTTTTTCTATAAAACATGCATGAAAAAAACACATTCACAAAATACAGCTGATGGCTGCAGCAGCTGATCCTAGCTCTGAAATGTAAGACAATCCATGCAGGTCAACAGACTCTGTGCAAACAAAAAGTCACATCCCATAGTTTATTAGACTTTGATTCCTTTCGCCCATATGAATAAAGGTGAAGATAGCCGAACGAGAACATTTTGTTCTTCGGCACAGTTTATACCTTATGCATACATACTCCAGTAAATGATGTTAAAGAGCAGATAAGCCATGGGAAATATGACTCTGGAGTACGAGTCGATCATGTAGCTGTTGCTCATGATATAACTCATGTTGTATTTTAACGTATTTCTGCGGTGGAGCCTGGTTCCATCTGGGGGTGCGGAGGCCGTGGAGTTTCGTGACTGAGTGGTTCTGTCTGTGTTCGGGGTGATATCCACCTCTGGGAAAGGAGTCAGGTCYATGTCTTCGTCGTGGAAACACCCGTCGAAAGCCATCGCCTGGTTGGCATTGAAAGAGTCGGGGATCTGCAGAAACAGAAGGAAAAGCAGACAGTGTGATGATTGAGTATGGTACCAACCATTTACTGTAAGTAGGTGTTAAAATTAATGAAAAAAGAATGAAAAACACCTTTGCGTTCTTGAGCTTCTTCATCTCTTCCACTGTAGTGAAATAGTTGACAGCGGCGTATTCGATGACCGACAGGAAGACAAACAGGAAGCTCACCCACAAATAGATGTCTACGGCTTTGACGTAAGACACCTGAGGCATGGAAGCCGAGACACCAGTGATGATGGTGGACATCGTCAGAACCGTGGTGATGCCTAAATTCACAAAACGTCAGAAGAGAAGACGAGTATTAAATAAGAATTATCTTTAAACATCCAAGTAAATTTTGTTAAGAGAAAGGGTTGTTATAACCTTAAAAGGGACAGAGATATTTGTAAAACCCAAATTCAGAACTAGTTTGAAGGAAGGACTTTAATTCAAGGAATAAAACTATGGAATAATTTGGGGAGTGATGTAAAAACTGCAGGATCATTGTGTACATTTAAGAGAATGATAAAAGTTGGATTGTTAAAGAAATACGAAACAGTATAATGTGTATCTATATAAATTGTTGTTCTAGAGGGATTAGATGTTCGTCTTTTGTTTTGTTAACATAGGTTTTATTATATGAACTTATTCTAGAAAAAAGGGGCAAATATAAGTTTTTTTTCTTCTCTCTGCTGCCTTTCATTTCATTTGTGATTTTGATATACATATTTTTCTCTCTCACTTTTTTATATTTTTCTTTTTATTGAATATTGTATATAAAAT